TTGTGTAATTGTGCAGAAGTTAAATCTAGGTTAACAGAAAAAGCTGAACATGATACCTGTTGTCTCTGACTAGATTTTAGGTTTTCTCAAATCCAGCTACCACAAAGAAGGCCTGGCTATGTTCAACTTGCTTCATAGCTCAACCCTCTACTGAACATCAACACATTATTATTTAGCTGTTCCAAGTATGGCTTCACAGATCTTTGATGGGGTTTAAAAAAACCAAAACTAATACTAACTTGTCTGTATTCTTTATGTGCCATTTTGTTATGAAGCGTTGCATTTTGAGATTGTATTGCATCCTAAGTGTTTGTGACCTCTAGCTTGACATACTTACAATAAAACCATCTAAACTAAATGCATATAACAATATGGACAGCTAAAATGCAGAGGCCTTTATGTGACACAGAAAGCTGCAGGAAATGAGTAGAAAACATGCACATAAAAGAACAGAAAAAGAACAAAGGCAGCAAAATGACACCTGCAATATGACAAACACAAACAGGCTGCGGGCTGTAAGCGTTAAGAACATTGTATGTTTAATGTATTTCAAGCTGATCTTGGTAGAGTTGCTTTATTAGAGGCCTGAAACTAGCAGGTGAAGACCTCCAGTCTATATTCACAGAACTACAGGCAACAATGATCACTATAAATAATAATATTTTAAATAAGACTTTAAAAACATACTTGTCACCACTTTTGTTCCTTCACCAAACAGGATCTCACTGCATGTGACAACAGCACAGTAGTACGTCCCAGCATCAGACGAGTTTGTTACAGTTTTGGACAGACTGTAGTCACATCTCCCTTCCTCTTTATTCCTGACATTGCCGTGGTAAATGACGTCTGGGTGGGATTCTGATCCACCTTTGAACCAGTGCACTGTGTCTTCATCTGGACACTGATCTGTGTCATCTTTGTTCTTGGAGAGGAGCGAACACTGCAGAGTCATTGTATCACCCAGCTTGACTGACTCCATGTCTGGAGTTTGTTTCACAGTAACAGATTTAAGTTGAGTTTTGGGATCTGTGTGATTCACAAAAATAAATGTCTGTATTTGTTTTGATTTTGACACAGATATAAAAAGAAAACAATGAAATAAATATTCTTTACCTTTCACTGCCAAAATCGTGCCATTTATAAATTCCATGTCATATGCCGATCCTGCATGACAGAGGTAAGTCGCTTCATCTTCTTTGCTCACATTTCTTATGATAAGAGAATGCACGTGACCTACTTTTGTGGCACTGAATCTTGAGTTGTTAAATTGTCCACTGAGGGATATTTTTCTATAAGTTCCTTTAGCAACTGT